ACACCCCTAATTATAAGGGGCCGACTAATTCAAAAAGATGTTGGTCTCATTCAACTAGAAAGCAACTCGTAGAAGTTTGCAAGGAAATTAATCAGGATGAGTCGCCATAGCTAATCTAATCCGAAAGATTTCCTTTTATGAGAATTCGAATCTTGATGCTTGTACGTTACACTTACACATACGTTCCTAATTGAGTTTAGAAAATTAGACAGTCACATCTCCATTCTTGGCTTACAATCCAGTTATTTATAGTTTGTACTTTGAATCAATTAGAGTATTATTATTTTTAATTAGGAGAAGATAAACTCTAAACACCTTTATTAAGTTATGTCTTTCTCTTGCTAAATTATTGATTTTTTTTTACAACTAATTGCTTATGCTATTTTATTTCTGATTTTGATTTTAATTGCTGCCTATATGGGAGCTCTCTCCATCAAAATCATCAAAATTAATATAACAACATTTAATATCACTTTTGGACACTGTCAAATTTTGCTCATTTTTTAAAATGGTTCAGTTACAAATGACATTCAGTTATTCTGCTTCATTATAGCACATAAGAAGTAAATGATTTTGAAAGTTGTTAGATGTCATTTTTGAAAATGAAATATTTGTTTGATAAAAACTAGATGAAAGTGAGCTCATATTTAAAAAAACTATTTTAGCAATGATTATGAACAAGTTCCAATTGGTAGGATTCATTGTTACCAATTATTTTTTTTATATAATAATAATAATAATAATAATAATAATAATAATAATAATAATAATAATATAATATAATATAATATAATGTACTATGTATGAGAAGATTGTTATTGTTATGGTTAAGAAAATGTATAGTAATAGAGATTGAGAATTATGCATTAATTGTATGAAAGTTTAAGATATTCATGAATAAAGGTAAATAAAGTTGTTTGGTTCGAGAATTTCCATAATTTTGTGCTGTTTGTAAGTGTTTAGGGCATTCTTCGGGTAAGTGTCGTCCTCCTGCTGCGTCTGAGATTCCTAATGTTACGTCTATTCCGGTTGCTAATTTAACTCCTATATGTGCTGAAAATGTCGATAAGGGTGTTGTCCTTTCTGTGCCGGAAACTTTGGGTAATGTTGTTGCTAATCCTGAGGTTGTTATTGCGGCTTTACCTTCTGTTGAACCTCTGGGTTGTACCCCGGCTGTTGCAAATTCCCCTGTCAATTTGGATGGTGGTGATCATGGTTTGCCTGGTAATGTGGTTGGTTGTTCTCCAACTGTTAATCTCTTGCCGGGTGTTGATGGTGCTGTGAACTCTCCTGTTCTTTTAGAACCCGCACCTGCTCGGTTGCCTGCCGTTGATGGCGGGTCGGTTAACGTCAATGTTGTGGAGGATTCAGGTGGGCTGGTGGCTGGCGGCATTGCTTCAGATGCTGCTACGTTTGGTCTCTCCCCTAATGCTCTTCCTTTTATTCCTCCTGTTTTAGCGTCTACTAGTAAGGTCATTTTGCCCAATAACTCCACGGATAATATTAATGATTCGGAAGGTCTGGTTGCTATTAATCCTTCTGCCCCTTTGGTTACTGATCGGGTTGTAGCTGTGGCTCCTTTGTCTGGTGTTAGAGCTGAATGTAATTCGGTTATCAATAGTTTAATTGAGGTCCCTGTTAATTTGGTGGATTCGCCTTCTTTGGCCAATTAGTTGGGTGATTCTTCTGGTTTGGACATTAGGAACCATCTTAATTGGTTGAATGGATCGTCGGATTATGAATCTGAATCCGAATTTTCAAAAGGTGGCTTGGAATCTCCGGAATTTTGTGGGGGATCAGACCCTGGTAACGATTTCACTTTGGTTCGTGCTACACCTAGTATAATTGTGGCATCTCGGGGGAGATTTCGTGGGAGAGGCCGACGTAGACGCTAATGTTTCATTTTCTGTTGTCTTCTCCATGTTCTTTTCTCGGGATTCATGTGTTTTTTTTTTCTTTTTTTCTGTTCGATTGGCTGGTGCGAAGAGATAAGGGCAATGATGTGGTTGGGGCTCGCGTCCCTATTGTTTAGCTGGTGGCAACCTTTGGTGTGGCTACTCGGGTCGGTTATTTGGACGTTCCCCACCTTGTTGGATGGTCCGTGCGAGGCTTCAGGGACGCTAGAAGCCCTGGCCGCTTACTGAGCCCGCTACTTGGCTATAATTTTCCGTTTTATTTTTGTTTTTTTTTTCCTACCAAAGCTGTAACAGTTATGATTTTCATTAATATATTTCTTTAAAAAAAATAAAAAGTTGTTCGGTTCGAGAGGATATTGAGTTTTTTATTTGAACATTTTGTAGAGCAAAAATCATGAGTTTTGTCCAATTGAAACAAATTTATTAGTCTAATTTAATGCTTGAGGGCATCAATTTGTTAATGACTTTGGGTGATTTTAGTAAATGGTCTTTTGATATTGTATTAAGATGGCATTAAAAAATGGTGATGACAAGTGTTACAAGTTAGACATTAATGAACATTGTGATCTAAACATTAATAAATGTTTAGCATTTGATGTCAATGGACGCCAAGAAAGAGTCAACAATTGGCGTGTGAAAGGCTACAACAAGCATTAAGTGTAATAGATCAGTTGCCAATGGACATTAATCGATGAAATAGGATCATGATTGCCATCAAGAATAGTGTTAATCAATCAGAGAACATCAGTCAAAAAATGAAAGTTGATGGATGGTGTTGAGAGTAGATATCAATATATTGACATTGGTCAACAAATGTCAGTGGAAAAGAAATACTGGTTAGCACTGAGAGTATGTAGTTATTTGATGGATGACGATCACAAAACATGGATTGGTGATGAAAGGTAACGTGGCATCATGTGTAAGGGAAATATTTGCAGAAATCAGTGAATTTATAAATGTTGGGAGATGTTAGTTGAAGAATGTATGATGGGTCTACAAACATCAATATGGTCATTTGGTGGCTTCAAAAGGTAACTAAAGCTTAATAGTCCTCTATAATTTTAAATTCTCCATATTTAAAATGTCATAAAAAATAAGGAGAATTTAGGCTAATTTATAGATTTTTTCAATAGTATTTTGATCCTTATTTAGATTTATGCTAGAATATTTCTCATTATTATCAATAGCAGGTACTCTAAATATGAAATCCACTAGCTTCAAACATTAGAAATCACAAGAACTTAGGATTAAAATAAATGGTGCAATAATGTACTGTGTTGCTTAATGAAAACTTAATATTTTCTTCTTAGATATTTTAGTCCTCAGTTCTATCAAGTGGGATTCTGTTGATCTTTAGGCGCTTATGAAATGAAGCTTATAATTTGTTTATATGCAACTAGGCTTCATGTGACCCATAAAATAATAGATTTTGTTTGATTATTTATTATGCTTAATTACTAATTGACAAATAAGTAGTTGATTAGATTCTGTTTTGGATGATTGTTGTGGTTTATAAAATTAGTTATAAAATTGATGTGAGAAAACAACTAAATATGTCTCATTTTGGGCGGATTTCTTAACGTTTTTTTTTTTTTTTTAATTATAAATTTTTTTATACTATAAGCTGTTTTATAAAGCGGTAATAAAGCTGTCTCAAACAAAGCATAAAAAAAATGCTTTGTTTGAGACATCTTTCTTACTATTTTACTTTTCAGATCGTAGCCAGAATTTTCATTTGACCACTACTTTTTCCTTGCTTCCAAAATATTTTGGTACTACGAAGATGCTTTCTACCACAACTTTGAAAAGTTAATTTATTTACAATAGCTATAAGAAAGCTATTCCAAACAAAATCTTGATTACTCTTATCGCGAAATCAGATTTCCAACACAGAAATATTTAAAAATAATGAGAACACAGCAAGAATGTAACAGCCAAATAAAATTATAGTTACAACAACAACAACATCAAGCCTTTATCCCACTACGTGGGGTCGGCTACATGAATCCTTTTTCTCCATTGTGTTCTATTAAAAGTCAAATTCTCATTTAAACCTAATAAAGAAAGGTCATTTCTAATATTTTCTAACCAAGTCTTTTTAGGTCTACCCCTACCTTTCTTCACATAAGTCAAATCTAATACCTCTACTCTCCTAACCGGGTCATCGAAAGGCCGTCGTTTTATGTGACCAAACCATCTAAGGCGACTCTCTCTAATTTTATCTTCTACTGGAGCTACTCTAAAATTATAGTTACCATTTGAAAAATAAAATAACGAGAAAGCAATCCCAAGCTCACCCATAACTCAGAATTAAATATTTTTTAAAAGTTTAATTATATTCGAATATAAATTCAGGACTGTCTTCAAATGCTTAGGTTTGTTTGAAATTTGGGCTGGGCAAAAGCCCATTACCGGCCTAATTTAAAGCCACATTCTTCATGAACTTTCATATGGATTTCTAAGAATTCTATAGATTTCCCTAATTCTTGAGAGAAATATGAGGTGGCAATTGGATTTATCAGTTTGGGTACAGAGAACATGCTTTAAAAAATCATTTATGCAACTGAAAAACTCTTATTTCAGAAGAAAATATTCCTCAAGCTCTATTAGAAAAATTCAAGTATAGGTTGATCAGCTTGTTAATTATTTCGGGGGTGATTAATTATGATATGAAAACCGTTGCAAGTGTGATCATGATTAGGTTTAGCAAATAGGCCGCAATCGAAGATGGTACCCTCAACAATTGTGCAGTAGCAATTAGATTCTATGAGGGTGCACAATATATACATAAATTTAGACTGCATCTTTACAATCATCTTCATAGAGAAAGATTACTACATGAGGAATCTGGGTGGCAGAACCGTCCAGATTCTATGAGGGTGCACAATATATACATAAATTTATTTTTTGCTATGTATTTGTTATGAATCCTCACAGAATCCCGACGGTTCTCCCATTCGAATGTAACAATTTCTCCTTTATAAAAGCTGCAGGTGTACGAAAACGACTCTAAATTACATAAAAAAACATTATATCAATAAGAAAAATAAAAGCAACAAGGAAATAATCAAACAAACCAAACTAAAATTTAGCAAAACAGAAACTAAAATAGAATTTTAAAAGCCAGACGATCCACATTTGAAGTTTAGCGCACGCTAATAATAAATCAGTAAATATATCTGAAGCAAAACTCTCCTGACGCAAATTTAGACTGTCCCGTGTAATTTATATATAGCAGAGTAGGTTCAAACTCATTACACTACTCTCAAAACCCAAACTTTTTGCTTACCCACCAATCAGCAAACCCCATTGGTCTTATGCGCAATAACAAACTTCCTCCAAGCTTCAGCAACCTTCCTCTGCGTCTCTACCTCCGCCTTCTTCACCAAAATCACGCTGTCACTATCTCCGGCTTTAACCGCCTTAACCGCCTTCTCCGCAGCCCCATTATCGCCGGCTGCGACCACGAGGAACTTGGACGGCAGAGCGTCGAGCTCTTGCAGAACCTTCTGGATATCGAAGACGAGGCGCTCGGCAAGCGTGCGGCTGAAATCTTCGCGGATGACGACGCGGAGAACCGTCACGTGCTGGGCATCGGGCGGCATCGTGTAGGCCGGCACGATCCAACCGAACCGGCGGAGGTAGTCGGAGACCTCGAACTCGTCGTGTCGGCTCCGGTCTTTGAGGGAGAAGGCAACGAGCGGGACACCCCGGTCCTTGGAGACGATGGTGAACCGGCCGGTACTTTCTAGGCCGGTTTTCAGAACGGTGGCGTTTTCCTGGCAGTTCTCCATTATGTTCCTGTACCCCTGCATTATGCACAAAATTCACGACAATAATTAGTTATATAGCTGTGATTGATCGCTGGAAGAGTTGATTGGCCGGAATATACCTCGAATCCCAGGCGAATTAGTTGATAGTATTGTGCAATGACCTGGCTTGATCCTGTAAGAATGTAGAGAATTAGTTATAAGATTATAAACGATTGAATGTAATCTTTTCACTTAGTGCAGTTCGATCGGTTTCAGGATTGATTAGTTAGGTTTGTTAATGTAATTAGAAGTGAAAAGATAGGACTAACTCCCATGGCAAATAAGATTAGAGAGAAGCATCTTAGATGGTTTGGTTACATAAAATATCAGGCCTTCCAATGACCCATTTAGGAGAGTATACTTATTAGCCTGTGTTAAAAAAATAGTAGAACTCAAAATATTTGATTAAAATTATTATAAATGATATGTTTTATTAGATTTAAATAAAAACTTGATTCCTAATATGAAATAATGGAGAAAATGGATTCATGTAACTGACTCCACATAGTGGAATAAAGATTTAATGATGCTGTCGTTCGTGTCAGGGGTCGATCCCCGAGCCCCCCTAAAAAAAATAAAAAATATATTTTAATATATGATTCTTTAAGTAATTTGTCCCCCCTTCATCCATATTTTAATTTTTATTACAAGAGTTTTTAAACAATTAATATTGAAACTGATCGAACCCTAACTAATTCTCTACATTCTTGCAGGATCAAGCCCTCTTGGACTCCTAACAGTTACAAGTTCCCCCCCTAAAAATTAAGGCTGGTTCCGCCCCTGACTAATATTATAAAAAATTATAAGTGGAATTGAAAAAGAAAATAGTGAAAAAAAAGTCAATTAATTATATAAGATTTTACGCCGGATTTATGACATGTTTAACTGACATAATAATTAAGATTAAGATTGTTAATAACAGTTTCTCTTAATTATGCAAATATTACTCATTCATAGTTACCTTTGGAGAAATTGAGAGTGAACGTGGGCTGATCAGCGCCCAGATAGTTGATGTGGAAGATAAGTTCTTCTGGAAGGTCTTCCTTGCTCCTCCAAATAACCCAGCCGATGCCAGCGTAGACGAGTCCATATTTATGCCCGCTCACGTTAATACTCTTAACAAGAGGAAGCCTGAAGTCCCACTCCAGCTCCGGGTACAGGAACGGCGCTATAAACCCCCCACTGGCCGCGTCCACATGTATTGGTGTATCCCATCTGCAAAAATCATAAAAGGAAAATTAAAATACGCTCAAAGGGCTTCGCGGCGTCGATCATGGTTGACAGCTCTTCTCTTTGGCGGCTATCCTCTTGAAGATAGTGAGGCAGCAGATCTCGCCGTTGGAGTGGAGGATAGTCGTCTTCTTCGTCATCGACCGCTCATCTCCTTCGGCGACGATCTTCGTCGACCGCCCATTTTTTCGGCTTTGATCGTCGTCGACAGCCCACCTTCTGCAATCCATCGTTCTTCGCAAGCTCCGAGCTCTAATACTAATTGATGTGAGGAGATCTTCGTTGGATCGTTGGAAGAAGAGGATGCTTGAAGGAAGATAATCCCAATCCAAAGAACAAAGATAACACCAAGCTTAAAGCTTCAAAGAGAGTAATATATCATTGATAAATGATAATCCTTTCCTCCTACAATACCTTCATACTTATAAGCTAATAGAACATTCTAGAAGCTACTTGTAACAAATTTGGATAAACTGATCCTAAGAAATACTATAACTAAAATGCTTCAGCATCAGATGCTTACTTTGATCTTAGTCAATCTCAAACTATTATATTTGATAGTTTAATAAGCTAGCTTACCCAGTCTCCTTGTTCTTCTTTATGAGGAGATCGTTCAGGAGCTTAACATCTTCAAACTCTCCGTTGAGAGTAGAGCCCAAAATGGCAGCAACACATATTGTATTCTCGTCCACTAATTCAACGGCCTTCTCAGGATCCATCACATAGTATCCATCTCTCAGCTTCACTTCCTTCAGTTCAACCTCAAAATATCTGGCAAATTTCTCCCAGCATACCTGACATGTAACTCAATTAATCAGGTAGATATATATGAATGGTTAAGGTTGATGAGTTTGGCTGACATGATTAGTACCTGAACATTGGCACCTGTGACGATATTTGGCTTGTCACATGGCTTCCCTTGAGCTCTCATCTTGTTTTGCCACCGCCTCTTGAAGGCGAGTCCGGCGAGCATTATGGCTTCCGATGAGCCGACAGTCCCGACGCCGATCGCAGCCTCGGAGTCAGCGAGGGGGGCGTTGAAGAGGTGAGCGATGATGTTGACACATCGATTCTATATGGATGAAGATGAACGAAATTAGTGGTGGTTTTGTTCTATGGTAACATTTGGTGTACTCCATAAACCCTAAATTTGGTACAGCGATACTAATAATTATAAGTAAGAAAAAAAAATTAAAAAATTATAAGTAATACAAAATTAATAAAGATTGTGCTTTATTTTTCTTTTGAAATTGACGACAATAAATTGAAGGGAGAATATCAGTCGAAAGAAAAGGTAACGTTCACATCATATGTATATATGAATTAAAAAATAAAAATAGTAAAGCAACCATTGGAAAAAATCAAAAATAGGCGTTGATGCTCTTCCAGAAGGCTAAGGGCATCTCCAACCGAACGGCAAACACTTGTTTGCCGTTCTTGCTTTGCTCCAACCGATCTTCATTTTTGACGCCATTTCATCGCAGATGAACAGTGCGACACCAATATTGGCGTCGCACTGTTCATCCGCGGCATTTTTTTCTCTCTACCGAACAGCTTGGGAAGAAAGGCGCGAACGAAAACGACCATTTTAGCGGCAAAATGGCGTTGGATTGGAGATGAAATACGGCATTTTTTGATTTTCCTGCATTTTGGAGTGAAAAATGACATTTTCGGTTGGAGATGCCCTAAGGAAAAGTCATGGCAGATGCCATTAATTCATTTTTTTATTTTCTAAAATAAATTTTTAACAAAAATTTTTCAAATTAATTTTTCTAAAAAAATTTACCTTAAAAGCCATTAAAAAAGCCGCCCCAAAGTTTCAATTTTGTATAGTTTAGTGAGAGGTTTAAATCAAATCTTTATTTGAGATCTTTTTTTATTATTTTTAAAGTAACATTTTAGCTAAAAGTTTTCAAATTCAAAAAAAAAAATTAAATTAAAAAGCTAAAGCATTAAAAAATTATGCCAAAAGAAGTCTAAGAGTCTATTAGTCATTATTTTTATTTTTAAATCTTTATTTGAGATCTTTTTTTATTATTTTTAAAGTAACATTTTAGCTAAAAGTTTTCAAATTCAAAAAAAAAAAATAAATTAAAAAGCTAAAGCATTAAAAAATTATGCCAAAAGAAGTCTAAGAGTCTATTAGTCATTATTTTTATTTTTACATAATATATTTTTATTTATATTTAAAATATAATTTTTAAAAACATTCAAGTATTCTAAGATATTTTTAGCATTTTTACTTCTTAAAAATAACTATCTCCGCTGGCTAACTTCATCATCACTCTCGTCTTACCATCATCATTGCTACCCCACCAATAATTGAGGCTACCAAAACAAAAATTAATTAATTGGATATTCAATATAAATAAAAATCTATATTTTTTAAGATATGAAAATCAGAAAATTTAATTATTTTATGTTTAAGCATTAAATAAAATTAAAAAATTTATTGTTATGCTGGGTCCCTGGAACCGTTATTCTACTAACTATAAAACCAAAATTTTCTACGCTTAGCTGCATTGGAGCTAATAAATAGGAAGTCAGCTTTGTGGATCAGCTCAGCCAATTTTGTGGCCAACAGCATCTGAGCGTCATAGACCACTGTTTCTCAATTAATTTATATAAAATTGTATCATATCACATCAAAATTTTACAAATAAAAAATTTTAATGTCAAATTAATACATAAAAAACTAAAATATAACATTATTCACTGAATGTGACTTTTTAATTTTTATATTTTTATTGGCATTTAACTTTCAGGTGATAAAATGTTTTTTTTCTCTAAATTTCAATGTTCCATAATTTTCAATGAACTCTCCCTCTCTCTCTATAACTTATTGGTCAACATTCATATTCAAAACCAAGCGGCTAAGGTGTGAGAATCAAAGTTTCTAAATCAATATCTATTAATTGATGATTAAAATTGCTAACTAAAAGGTCAAGATGAACGGCTTAAATTAGACTTGATATACATTAAATTAATTGTATTTTTAAATAATATTTTTTTTAATTTTGAGAGTGATTACTTGATATTTTAATGATGAAATATTTTTTATCTATTTGATGAAGAACTAAATTTAATGTCATTATATATCTTAATAACTATATTTTTGCTTGAACTTCAAATTAAATTTGGAGCTGTTTAAAAGAAAAACTCCAAATCTTTATCAGTCTAAGTAAAACGCCTCTTCTATAATTAAAAAAAAAGGGTAAAAACGGTAGAAAACGTAAATTTATAATAACGGTTACACATCTAACTGTTGCAGGGATTCTCTCGCATTAAAACGTATAAATATTTGGATCCACTGTAGCCATTATCATTATATCTTTTTTTTCAATTTTATATTATATATATATATATATATATATATATATATATATATATATAATTAGGCATTTTATAATCCTATTTTGCCCGGTCTAAAAAAAGTGGTGACAGTCTGACTCTGCCCCTGCCAATAGTCTGTAAGCAAAAGAGTCATATCTGCAGGAGCGAAGTCAATAATTTTCTCTTAATGAAAGCATTTAAGATAATTTTGTTATTTTGATGGGTAAAAAATTAAATCGAGATTAATTATATACATATATATATGTATACAGAATGCGAACGATTGGTTCCAAAACTAAAATCAAAACCATCGATATCGGATATAGCAATTTATTAGAAAATTAATCAAGAAGATCGTATTATAATTAATCACCTGGAGCTCAGTGGTGACTGGATACTCATCCATGTCGACATAGTTCTTGTTAATAGAGGCCATGATGAGCTTGTCGCACTCCGGCTCCATCCACGTCGTCACGAACGACGCCAAGTTCAATCTAGGGTTCCCATCAAGCATCAACTCATCATTAATGATCTGGTAAGCCGCCTCCTTCGGTATCGATTCATCCAGCATCCGAAATCTAAATCCATAGTGATGGTAATTAATTAGGGAATAACACAGATCTGCTGCGAGAAATCAAAATCAACATCGCAAGTATTAGCTAGGTCTAATTAATTAGCTCAGTGTTTACCTGGGAAGAGAGGTGCGGACGTAGCGGGAGGCGAAGGTGGAGTGGACTGAGGAGTCCGACGACTCCGATTGGGCGCGAGAGAGAACCATGGCGAAGGAGGAAGACAGGGAAGCGAAGGGTGTTGGAGGAGGAGGTTGGGGTGGGGGAGGAGAAGGTTTTAAAGGGGAAAGTTAGTGGAGCGTTTGTGGGGTATTTGCCTAATTATGGGAGGGCAAACCCGTTGAAAATTGGAACGGAAGGCTTAAGAAAACTGTAGCAGGTCTGATGTGGGTAGGGAGGACATTATTGTTATTTGTTGCTTACGTTCTGGCTGTGATGGGGTGTGGGCCCGGCCTGAAACTCGTTGATGAGAAAATTACAATAATGCCTCGCTGCGGCAGATGTCCTTAATTTTAATAAATATGTTGAGGGTTAAAATTTATTTATTTTTATTGTGCATTTATATAAAAATATTTTATTTAAGTTTATCAAATAACTTATTCAATTTTATTCCAAAAATTTGGCGATCAAACTTGTAGTAAAATGATGTTAATTTTATAATTGACTTTATTTTATAATAACTAATGCATCTAAAAAAATTTACATGTTTTACGCGAATCTTGAGGAATGATTTTAATTAAAAAATTTTGGAATTAAATTTTGGATTATTTGATAGCTTTGATTTCAGCAAATTTATAGGTAAAACAAAAAAATCTCGATGAGATGAACCTAACGACCCCCCAAGTCATCAAATTTGAGCATAATAAGCACGATCAAAGGCTTGAAATGTAATTGAAAGACCCACACATTATTTATAGGAAAAATAAAACATCTCGAATTTTGACATGTTTATAGTCGAATCAAGGGGCTCGACATTACAAATCCAACGAGCACAATATCGCTTAATTCTGATATCATTAAGGCATTTAAATGTTGATCGAATACTTTATGATCAAGGGAATCAATATAGATAGAGTGATTTTGATTCTAGTTAAAATTATCAAAATATCCATCACAAAAGCCTATAAATCGAGTTTTATTTTCCACATGAAGAAAAGGGGATGAAGGGTGAAGAGAACTAGAGAGCTCGCTTGCATTCAACATCTTTCGTTGCCAACAGCCACCACCAGTTATCAATGCAAGTGACCCCCACCAGTAATCATTGCCATCATCTTCAGACTTTTGTCAAGATTTAACTTATTGTTGGGTATTAACTCCAAACTCTCTTTATTATGTAATAACTATCTATCAGTGAACATAAGACTTATGTAATATCTATAAGAGAAATCAAGCCATGCTGTTAGAAGTTAATTATTCATATGTGTACACTGACTTTTTATAATCCTTACATAAAAAAATCAATTATTTTCTCTCAATTATGAAAAAGGAATGATTCTTGTATCACTAACTATATAATGAATTTTATAACCGAGTCAAGATTAATTTTTTTTTTTTTTCCCTTTTTCAGGCTATCCATGTAAAAAATTTATAACCTTACAACTATTATCTGTGCATGCTAAATTATTATACAATGTTGAGACATAAAAACACTTTTCCAACTCACTCAAACTTTCTAAACTTTATATCACATAACAATAATGGTGAATGTTAAAATTATAAAGCATTTGATTTGAGCCTGTAATATTTATAAAAAAAATTAACATCAAATTAGTGGGGATCCTTAGCTGATATCATCATTTATGGGAACAAAATAAAAGATGTATTCAAGCATAACTTTTTAATGCTAAGTAAGCCTATGAAGATAACTTTGGGAATAAAATAAATGATGTATTCAAGTTCAACAAAGACCAACCTAGGTGTTGTAAAACCAAAGCAATGGCTGTAACACTTCTAGATTCAATATTCAATTCGACATGTTTTGACCTAGCTAAGTTTAAGTTAAGTCGTCAATTTATGTATTTGAACTCTTTTGCATGTGTCTGAAAATGATTTGCGTGCATGAAAAAATGTCTGCATGCAATCTTAGGAGGGGTATAGGGGTTTGAATGCATGTCTGTGAAATTTGGAATTTTTTTTCCCGGGGCCCATAGCTCTAGAAAGAAGGCGCCACCGCATTGTGTTCTCTGTATTTTCAAAAGTTTAAACTAACATAGCGAAACTGGGTTCGAGGCTAGGCCAAAATTTCTTAATTATAATATATTTTTCCACTATTCCATTCTATTTTGATACGAGTAGCCGACTTCCAAAGAGCGTGAGGAGGTTTCCTAGAGAGAGTTCGTCATTTTGAGCTGCTTTGGGTCATTGTTAGCATTCGGCTCAATTCAGGAAGTTTTTTTTTATCGAGGAAGATAAAATTTTGTATTTCTCTGTTTAGTTTTAAAAACACGAGGATTTTTTTAATTTCTTGATTAAATTTATATTTTTGTTATAAAATAATAAGGATAACTTTGCATTATTAACCTTAATTTCTGTATGTTGTAAAGAGATCGGTCATAAACATTTAAAGATTTTAGGAAAAACTTTCACCAGATTTTTTGAAATGTGTCTTTTTATTTGTCTGAAAAATAATTTGGAATCTAAAAATAATATTATAGTAAAATTAAAGGCTTGAAATAGTATTCTGCACAATCCTTAATAATTTTGTTGTGTTATGGAATAAGGAATTTTATGTAGTAGACTAGTAGTGTATTATGTTACTTACCATTGCATAGTGGTATAAAAATTATGAAATTTTGTTATGGTCATTTAAGATTTAATTTCTACATTGCACTGAATTATGTGAGTTTTTATATAAAATATGTATATTAGGAGATAAAAGGGGTCATAATTTATAGATTCTATATGATACAAGAGATTTAAAACTCTCTGAAAATCTATATATTGGAAGTCATGAGTGGCTGAAATCTTTGGATTCTAGCTAATAGAGGGTGAAATTCTATTAGTTGGGAGTTATAAGGGGCAAAAATCTTCAGATTTTGTCTAAGAAAAGAGAAATATGTTACATTCTACTCTGAGACATAAAATTCATGTTTATTTTAATTCCTAATATTTTTATTTGAATCGCTGATAATTGTAATTACTATTATGCTTGACATTGTGATTCGTTTTGTTTCAGCAATGTTAAAATGCTTTCATATTTGAATTATTTAGAATTATTTGGAAACCTAAATTGAAAAAAAATATATCGCATGTTGAGTTGTGTTAGCTCAGCATTATTTTGCATAAAAGAGTGTGAACACTATGAGAGGCTAAGATCTGCATAATTTCCCTCATTTTTCATTATAGATTTTTAACTTAGTGTGTATCCATAGGTTTTACTTTTTTTCAAATTTTCAGATTTTTCCATGTTAAATTCTAGTTTTCTTTCTCAACAACATGTATCTAATTTGTTTCATTTTTTATTTACTCCCAAGAAAAGTAAACTAGAGCTAACCATTATGAACATCATCTGTCACCCTCTTAAATCATCAAAGAGGCTGATTAATTAGGCCTAATAGTTACATATTTGACTATCAGTAGGAGTCTAAGAGCAAGCTCCAAGATTAAAAAATACCCACCTAATGTGCCCTTTGATAAGATTTTTCTAATAACCCTAAATAGATAGAAACTTCATACTCATTCACAATGCTAGATTCTCTCGCGCACTGCTAGGGTGTTTTTTCCTCCATGGCAACTCCTGTTTCCCTGTCGTGCTCGTGCCTTCCGGCGATGTGTCTCCGTTCAAGGAAGTGATTTTCTACTTCATTATTCATTCTTTTTTTGTGCATTCTCACGTCTTTTTCTCTTGATGGCTGGTTCGTGTTAGGTAGATGCCAGTTTTCTTAAGGGCAAATCCTCTAAGTCCTTTCATGATGTGATTTCGGGTAGCGTTTCTTCCTTCCTTGATTTGATAATCTTTACTCATCGAGGGATTCCTTCTATGTGAATTTCTGAGGCTGAAATTCATTCTCTTGCCAAACCATTTGATTTTGCTTTGGTTTAGAAAATTCTGTCCCACCGACCGTCCCTTGAAGCTATTCTGAAATTCTTTTTTAATCTTAAACTAAATGGTGATTTCTCTGTTATGGTTCTTAATTCGAAGAATGATCTTATAAAATTAGCGAATGATTTGGATTATTATCGTATCTTTGCGCATCGTTCCTATTTTATTAACAATTATTATATGCGATTTATCAAGTGATCGCCTTCGTTTGATGTGGATGTTAAATCTCCTATTATCCATATATGGGTGTCTTTCCCAAATTTGAGACCTCGCCTTTTCTCTCCGAGGATCCTTCATGGGCTCGGTTCTATTTTTGGCTGCTCTCTTAAAATTGATCATGCTACTTCTATTGGTTCTAGACCCTCGATCTTTTGTTCAAGTGTTGGTCGAATTGGATGTTTCTAAACATTTTTCAGACAAAGTTTGGATTAGGCCGAGTAATCTGGGGTATGTCCAGTCGATTATCTTTGAAGATGTTATGTTGTATTGTGTTCGTTACAACTTTTTGGGTCATTCCAAATCGGAATTAATGTTTAATCCTACACCCAAATTTGGCCAAAGGTTCTTCGTCTCGGGTGGTTAATCATATTGTTTTTTAGCATGTTAAAAATGTGGATCTTATCATTGGGGTGGACCTGCAGACGAGCATTTGCCCCCCCTCAAGTCAATGGGGGTCCGCCCATGAGCTGTGATGGTTGGTTTGTAACATTGTTCCTCTGCTTCTCGGTTGATTGCTAGTGAATTGAAGATTAAAATTGCGGTACTTATCTTAAAGTTAATTTGTCTGGTGTTGAGGATGTGGCTGAGGCATGTGTTATGAGGGACTTGGAGGCTAATTCTGGGAAGGTGATGCCTTCTGGGCTTATTTCTGCCTGCGTGGAGTTGGCAGGTTGTGGTGTTTTCTCTCCCGTTAGTTATGATGCTATGCCTTCCCCTGTTTATTTACATTCCCCTGCAACGATTCCTTTGGTTAATGGTTTATCTCAAGCTTCTACTACCTCTAAGTCTGAGGGTGAAACTACTTTTATTAATATTCCTATCTATGTGATGTCAAATGATGATTTAAAGATGCATGTGGCTAAGTCTAGGAATAACTATGTTCATTTGCAAATGGATTGGCTAAGTTTGGATGATTTTTCTTCTTCTCATTCTGAGGGGGAGGACGTGGAATTTGAAGAAGATGTTTTGGCTTCTCGTATGTTGGAGAAATTTTGTCCCAATGTTGGTGGTAAAAATGGCAAAAGTAAAGGCAAAAAGTAATAGACTCTCACTCTCATTTTACTATTTCATCTGCAGCTTT